CACCAGCCCCCCAGGTCCACATCCACTCCGGCCCCACGACTCTAGGTCTGCATCCAGTCCATCTCTACCAGCCCCACAAGTCCGCGTCCCGTCCATCCCACTGCAGACCACGTCCCACCAGTCCACGGCTGGTCCATCCCCACCGGCCAATGCCCTTCCCACTGCCATAGGTCCATGGCTGGTCCATCTCCACAAACCAAAGTTCTACCCAGCCCTGTAGGCCCATGTCCTTCCCATCCCCATCAGCCCATATCCCTGCTGCCCCACAGCCTGTGTCCCTGCCAGACCCATGAGTCCACAGCCTGTCCATCTCTCTGCAGACCATGTCCCTGCCAGCCCCATAGATCATATCTGGTCCATCCCCACCAGCCAGTGTCCTCCCCTGCCCCATAAGTCCATGTCCTATCCATCCCCACCAGCCCATGTCCCTGCTGCCCCCCACCCTGTGTCCCCAGTCCCCATCCCACCACCTGTCCAAGCCCACAGCAACCCTTCTCCCCACACCAACACGTGGGAGGAGGCTCTGGCCAGGTGGGACCAGCCCATCGGGGACCATCCAGTCCCCAGGGCTGGCCAGGGGCTGGGCACCACCGGAGGCCCCACCAACCCTGTCCTCCTGTCCCAGCTGGGCAAGAAGATCGAGATGGTGCTGATGGTCTACGACTGCGAGGGCCTGGGCTTGAAGCACCTCTGGAAGCCAGCTGTGGATGTCTACAGCGAGGTGAGGGACCTCCCCGTCCCTGGCCAGGGACCGCGGCTGTCCCCGTGCTGTGGCAGGGACATGGTGACGGCAGGGATCTGAGCTGACTCATGGCCCAGAAGGATGATGCAAGAGCAGGTCCCTGCTGGCACCCCGCACCTCTCCTCGCGTTTTGGGGGGGCCTGGCCCGTGCCCCGCTGTGCTCCCCCTGTGCCCTGGTGGGTACGTGGGATGGGGATGACCTGAGGCTCTCCCCCATCCTGCAGCTCCTGACGATGTTTGAGGAGAATTACCCCGAGACCCTCAAGCACCTCTTTATTGTGAAGGGTGAGTTTGGCCCCGGGGTCCTGCTCCCCCTGTCCGGGTGCTGACCCCCACGCTTATGTCCCCCCCTCTGCCTCCCAGCCCCCAGGATCTTCCCCGTGGCCTACAACCTCGTCAAGCACTTGCTGAGCGAGGACACCCGCAAGAAGGTCGAGGTCCTGGGATGTGAGTCCTGAACCCCTCCCTGGGGTGTCCCCATCTGGGGGGGGGGGTGCAGTGGAAGCTGAGAACGGGGTGACTCGTCCCCCTTCACTTTCATCCTACCCAGGGATGGAACCCCAACCCTGGGGATGGGGTGTCCAGGCTGGGCTGGGACTCCCCACAGGGGTCACAGCTCCCCCAGACCCCACTGTCCTCCACCCCCACAGCCAACTGGAAGGAGGTCCTGCAGAAGTACATTGACCCCGACCAGATCCCCGTGGAGTACGGGGGCACCCTGACGGACCCCAACGGGGACCCCAAGTGCCAGAGCAAGGTAGGAGAAGCTCCCCCGACCCCCGGGGTTCCTCGGGAGAGGAAAGGGGTGGTCGTCCCTCCCCATGCCCACGTCCACCTCCATCCCCTCCCAGATCAACTACGGGGGGGACGTGCCCAAGCGGTACTACGTGCGGGACCAGCTGGCGCAGCAGTACGAGCACACGGTGGTGGTGAACCGCGGCTCGTCCCACCAGGTCGAGTACGAGATCCTCTTCCCCGGCTGTGTCCTCAGGTGAGGAGGGGGCCGTGGGGATGGGGGCCACGCCATGCCACCAGCCCCGCCCTGGGACCCCACCGGCGCTGTCCTGGCACAGGTGGCAGTTCAGGTCGGAGGGAGCCGACGTGGGTTTCGGGGTCTACCTGAAGACCAAGGTTGGGGAGCGGCAGCGGGCGGGCGACATGACCGAGGTGTGCCCCAACCAACGCTACAACTCCCACATGGTGCCCGAGGACGGTTCCCTCACCTGCTCCACACCCGGCATCTGTGAGCGCGTCCCCCATCCCTGGGGTGCCGGGGGGACGCCCGGGGGTGCTCCCTGCGACCCTAACAGCCCCTGGGCTCCATCTCCCCGCAGACGTCCTGCGCTTCGACAACACTTACAGCTACCTCCACTCCAAGAAGGTGAGCTACAGCGTGGAGGTCCTGCTGCCCGACGCCACCTCCGCCCAGGAGATCCAGAAGCTGGGGGACAGGCCGAGCGAGGTGGCCCTCAACCACGGCCCC